TTTAAATGTTTATTTAAACACACAGAGTGACAGCGGGGAAGAGGCAGAGAGAAGGAAACACAGAATCAGAAGCAGGCTCCAGGCTCCAGAGCTGTCAGCACACAGCCCGACGCAGTGCTTGAACCCACGGACTTTGAGATCATGACCTGAGCTGAAGTCGGATGCTTAACCGACTGAGTCTACCCAGGCGCCCCAAATAAAGTTAAAAAATAGTAAGAAAAGAAAAGAAAACCAAGGCCCAACTTCACCCAGCTAGGAAGCCCGCCTTTAGGCCCAGTTCTGTTTGAGACAGGCATGCGTACACCCATTTATAGATGAAGAAACTGAGGCTCAGAGAAAGAAGTCTCACAGCCACAAAGCACACCTGGGAGTCGAAAGGCTTTGCTCTGGACCCCTTTACCCTGGCTGACTCTCCGGGAGCCTCTATCCGTTCATGGGAGTCCACTCTCTTTCCTAAGCCTCACTCTCCAATAGTCCCCCTTCCCCCAACCAATCAAGACAGACAGGAACAGGATATTACACTCTCCTTCCAAGAACCCCATCTGCTGAGCCAGGGAAAACCACTTCCTAGCAGGCCAGGGGTCCTGGGTACAAAGGGAAAGGGCCTGGGCCTGGCTGGGGGGAGGCTCACTAGGCAGCCACAACCTGTGGGCAGAGCCAGAGATATAGAGGGTATATGGGGGAGGAGAGCTAAAAGAGCTGAGGGAGAATCCTGCCTCTCACCCCCAAATTCCCTCACACACCTCTTCTGTATTAGAATCTCTCCACCTCTGGGAATCTGCCCTAAGAGGTCCCTTCCCTCCTGCACCCTCACCCCTCTGATGTTCCCTCTGGATGCCCCCCAACCTTCCCTGTCTCTGAGCCCCCATCCCCTGGAGCTCTTCCATTTTGACTTCCAATTTCTGGGTTTCGATCAGTCCCCTCTTTTAGGCCTCAGAAGGCTTTTTACTGGGGACATCCCTTCTCTGACGCCAAGGCCTCCTCCCCTGTTCCAAAGGTCCGTGTTGCCTCCAAGGACCCTGTTTATGGGGGAGACTCCCTCGTTCTGACACCCACCTCCATTGATCTTGTTTTCCAGCTCCCTGCCCAAAGACCCATCCTGGGGGAGGGGAGCCAAATCCAATGCCCAGTCCTTGCTCCAAAAACTCCATTCACATCTCTCACACTTGCATGTCTAACCCTACCCAAGACCCCTCTTCTTGGAAAGACCTGTTCCCATTGCCCCCCAACCGTTTCTAATACCCACTCCGTACCTCCAAGCCTTCTCCTGCTTTGCAACACACTTCCCCTGACCCCATTCCCTACAGCAGCCTACTTCCCGTCTCCAGCGCCCAGGCCCTTCCCCTTGAGATTCTCTCATTCTCTTTCTCCCTCTCTCTCGTCAGCAGTACTCCTCCCGTTTCAACAGCCCCTCTCTTCCTTCAGTGTCAGTTTCCGCCTTCTAAAGACCCCTTCTGAAGCAGTCCCAGAGGTTTCCATTCTTCTCCAATTATCCTGCCACACTCCCAGAGATCCCTCCTCTTGGGTCGCCCCCTCCCCACCTCCCATTCCTTCTCCCCACCTCCGAGGTCCCGATTCACGAATCGCCTCCGCATTTCAACCCCCCGCCCCCGCCATCTCCAGTGTCTCCCGCACAGCCCACTCCCCTTGGCACTCGGTCGCCAATGTCCTCTAGCTTCGAGACCCCCGGTGCGCTTCCGCGCCGAGAATCACCACCCAGTTGCCCCCTTCCCGGGCCTCCAATCGGCCCCAATCCCGAGAGCCCGCGCCCGGCCCAAACCATCGCACCGCGGCAGGGGACGCTTGTCAGCACCCAAGCGAGCCTCAAACACCTGCACGCGGACCCACCCTGCGCCCGTCCCCAAGGTGGGCGCGCCCCCGTTACCATGGCGACCCCCGTCCGGACCCCAGCGGCCCCGGTCCCGCGGCTACTTGGCAGCTCCGGCTCCCGCAGCAGTCCGGGGTCCCAGGGCTAGAGCGGACTTCCGGCAGAAGAACGCGCCCGCCTTCTCGCGCACAGCCCACTGGGAATCGTAGTCTCAAGAATGCCTTCCCCCGGCCAGGCTGCAAGCCTGGGAAAAGGGCTGGTCCCCCTTCCCAACATGCTGCGCGACTGTCCTTTCCCACCCCACGGTACAGACCCCGAATGCATGCTGGGAGTTGCGGGTGATGGTCCCTTCCGAGGACTACAATTGCGTGACAGCCCGCAACGGGGAGTTGCATTCTGGGAAATGTAGTTCTGGTAGTCCTCCCTCCATCCCTATCCTCCCAAGGCGAGAAGGGCATGCTGGAAATAGTAGTTTTAAGTAAGAAATTGATCTGTGGGTCTGGGGGCAGAAAAAAAAAAAAAAAGAAGAAGAAGGAGAAAAAACTGCGCTGTGGGAACTCGAAATGTGACTCTGACCGCGCTCACCCAGTGCTTTTTTTGAAATATATTGCGGTTCCCTGTGGGAGATGGACAGTGGTTTAAGAGAATGATTTTGAGAGGACTGTGTGCAAATTCGGCCATTGCATTAACTAGCTGTGTGACTTTGGGACAACAACTTCACCTCTTAGCTCAATTTCTTCATGTGTAAACAGGAGTAATCAAGAGGTCACCTCGGCGGGGTTGTTTTACATCTTCGATAACTTTCCGAAGCGCTTATCACAGTGTTTGATACATAGTAAGTGCTCAATAAATACTAGCTGACATCACGAATGCTCATTGTTAACGTCCACAGGATAATAGGATCTTCTTACTTCCTATCCAGAGGTACAGTTGTCTCCTTTCAGTTATCTCAAATAGGCCAAATGTTTTCCTAACTCAGCAACTTTTCCTCTGTACTTTGCTATTGCCCATGGGCCTTTTCGCATTCATCCTGAGGCTGGGTCCTTTTCTTCCTTTACCTTAAACACCACTTCCACAGACCTGTGTAGAAGACCCTGCCTGCCTACAAAGGTCCTCTTCTCCCGTCACCGAAATTCTCTAGGTTTGATTTTTTTTTTAAGTTTACTTATTTACTTTGACAGAAAGAGAGAGGGAAAGGGGGGAAGGGCAGAGAGAGAGAGAGAGAGAGAGAGAGAGAGAGAGAGAATCCCCAGCAGGTTCCACACTGTAGTGCATGGCCCGATGTGGGGCTCGAACACACCACCTGCAAAATCATGACCACTGAGCCACCCAGGTGCCCCTAGGTTTGATTTTTTTTTAATGTTTTTTTTTTTAACGTTTATTTATTTTTGAGAAAGAGAGAGACAGAGCATGAACGGGGGAGGGTCAGAGAGAGGGAGACACAGAATCTGAAACAGGCTTCAGGCTCTGAGCTGTCAGGGCAGAGCCCGATGCGGGACTTGAACTCACGGACCGCGAGATCATGACCTGAGCCAAAGTCGGCCGCTTAACCGACTGAGCCACCCAGGCGCCCCTGATTTTTTTTTTTTTAACATTTATTCATTTTTGAGAGACAGATCACAAGCAGGGGTGCATTAGAGAGAGAGGGAGACACAGAATCCGAAGCAGGCTCCAGGCTCTGAGCTGTCAGCACAGAGCCCCACGTAGGGCTCAAACTCAGGAGCCGTGAGATCGTGACCTGAGCGGAAGCCAGACGCTTAACCGACTGAGACACCCAGGCACCCCTAAGATTTTATTTTTAAGTAATCTCCAAACCCACCCTGTGGCTCGAACTCATAACCCCAAGATCAAGCATCACACGTTCCACCGACTGAGCCGGCCAGGTGCCCCTCTAGGTTTCTTTTTTGTTTTGTTTTAATGTTTATTTATTTATTCCAGAGATAGAGAGAGGGAGAGAGCAGTGGAGGGGGACTGAGAAAGAGAGGGTGTGAGAGAGAATTCCAAGTAGTCTCCATGCTCTTCTCATGGAGCCCGACAAGGGACTCGATCCCACTAACCATGAGATCAGGACCTGAGCCAAAATCAAGAGTCTGACGCTCAACCAATTGAGCCACCCTGGTGCCCCAAGTTTCATTTTTTATAGTATCAGTGGGGAGACCCTCTGACTCCCTGAACTCAAGACTGACCTCCTAAGCTCAGCAAGCTCCCAGAGCTTCCGCCTAACTGTCAAATTCATCTTTTGGAAATTAACTAACGAGTTGCTGGACTGGGGAAAGAAACATTTGTGGATGAGATGCCTGTGCGGATGAATCAGAAAGTGCTCAACAGTGACCTCAGTTTCATTGTAATGTTGAAATCCCCCCCCTCTGAATATTCGTCACAAGCCCTCATAAGAGGAGCCTGAGTACCATGGTTCTGGGAGTCCCTGATCTGTCCCTCCCCGCCCCCCCCCCCGCCCTTGCTCTGTCTCTCAAAAAGAAATAAAAATATTTTAAAAAACACATATCATAGAACAATGTAAACTCAAAACGTGGTATTAGCAGAAGCACCAACACATTGGCACGAAAAGGTTAGGGATCATTTCTATCTGGTGCACTGCTGTAGGTAAGCAAGGTGCCCAGGATATAAAATTAAAGAGGCACTCTTTAGTGCCTGGGTGGCTCAGTCAGTTAAGCGTCCGACTCTCCATTTCAGCGGAGGTAATGGTCTCTCGGGTTCTTGAGTTCGAGCCCCGTGTGGGGCTCTGCACTGGCAGCCCGGAGCCTGCCTGGGATTCTCCGTCTCCCTCTCTCTCTGCCCCTCCCCTGTTCGCACTCTCTCTCAAAAATAAATAAATAAATAAATAAAATAAATAAAACCTTAAAAAAAAAAGGCACTCACTGTTAGGTGATGACCCTGCCCTTGCAAGAGTCTGAAAGTCAGCACCTACTTGAGGTTTGTTCCCTGGACGCCTTGCCTGGCTCACCTTAGTCCCAGCCTTGACGTCTAGCGCTTAGCTCAGTGCCTGGCATGAGTCCGGTGTTCCAAAAACATTTGCTGGATGAATGAGTGAGTGAATGAATGAATGAATGAACAGTTATCAAGAAAAACACACTGTCCCCACTCTGACGACATTCACGGTGGGGCAGGGGAAAAAGGACATTGTATCCATGAATTTTAAAATCACCTAGGAAACAGTAAATATTATTTTATCTCACACAGTTTCTGTGGGTCAGGAGTTCGGGAGGTCAGCTGGATGATTCTGGCCTGGGGTCCCTCGTGCGGTTTGCAGGGGAACAGATTCTGTCTGTGCCTTCAGGAATCTCATGCCTGGGTGGTTTGGAGTCTAAAGGTGATATTCCAGAGACACGGAAAGAAGGAGCAATCCTAACACTTCCACTCAATCCTAACACTTCCACTCTCGTATGGATTTTGAAATGATCCTTCCCTTTGCAAGATCATGACGGTATGCTTGCCCTGGGGAAAAACTGGAAAGAGTCAAAATATGCATCGTGAGGGGAAAAGTCAGTTAGTTTATGTGCAGCTACATAACAAAATATTAGGCAGTAGTTAAGTTGACAGAGGGGCGCCTGGGTGGCTCAGTCGGTTGCGAATCAGACGCTGGAGTTCAGCTCGGGTCATGATCCCAGGGTCATGGGATTGAGCCCCACGTGGGGCTCTGCATGGAGTTGGAGTCTGCTTAAGATTCTCTCTGTCTCTCCCTCTCCCTCTCAAATTAAAAAAAGAGGAAAAAGGAAAAAAAAGGAATGAGAGAAACGTGTATGCATTGACACGTTGTTGGAGACACAAAGGATGTTGTGGAGAGGTATCTCCACAGTGTACCATTTGATCTTAAATTCATTGTGCCAGCTTTGTGTGTAGAAAATTTTCATGTCTACAAAAAAAAGTTGTAAAATTAGGACAACGAACTCCAGTGTTTACTCGCCTAGATTCATGATTAGCTGACATCGTGCCCCATTTACTCTATGTACGTATGTATTGGAGCGATTCAAAAAAAAATGTTTTTAATGTTTATTTAGTTTTGAGAGACAGAGAGAGACAAAGCGTGAGCAGGGGAGGGGCAGGGAGAGAGAGATGGAGACACAGGCTCCAGGCTTTTATCTTATTTTCCCTTCCTTCCCCTATGTTCAGCTGTTGTGTTTCTTAAATTCCTTATTTTATTTTATTTTATTTTATTTTATTTTATTTTATTTTATTTT